CTGCCTGCTGGACTTACCCCACTCTCCCAGGGCCACTTTTTGATGGTGTGGGCCCCCTCGAGGGAGGAGAGCAAAACTCTTCTTTGTTCATTCTGTGATCCCCCCACCACCACCACACACACACAGCAGTGCACTGCTTGGCCTAGAATGCATAGTATGAGGGAGAAGAAGAGAGCAGCTTGGAACCTGTGAGCTGTGGTTTCCTGTTGCCTCTCCAGGGCACCGAGAAGAGGAGCTGTTTAATGCCCGGAGACCTCAGTTTGCCTGTCTGTCAAATGGGGGTAATAAGGCCCACGGGTGTCGTGAAAGTTAAAGGAGACACCCGTACAGTGTCCGTCACGTAGTAAACGCTCACTTAACGTTAGCAGTGCCATGTGTCAGCATTCCCCATAAAGTTAACAGCAGAAAACTGTCTTTCATGAAACTACCTTCTCAAGTTCTCCAGGCTTTGCTTCCATCAGCACTTTGAGTCCCCCTCAGTGCTCGTGTGGCTAGCTTCTGATGCATCCCCGTGGCTCAGAGAGGTCATTAAATTTGCCGTAGTCACACAGCTTAAGAACTGACCCTGGCTCTCTGCCCCACCACTGCCTCCAAAGTGAGGTCCCTACTTCACTGAGACTCTCTAATTGGGCCCCCTCCCGACACAAATCTGTTGCCTGGCTGCTTGATGCTACTGAATTTTCCCCAGTTCTCTCTAAGCAAGGAAATCACAAGTGTCCTCCTTTTCCCTTCTCACTCAGAACCCAAGGTCTGTTCACTCAGGACCCAGCACTTCTCACTGGATTCATCTCCCAGGAACTGCCTGGGAGGGAGGGGCATCTGGGGGTGCTGTGAAAACCAGGAAGGGTACTGTTGTGACAGGCAGGAAGTGAGTATCCTGAGTTGGACTCAAGGACATGGAGTTGGGTTACAAAGATCCATGGGCCAGGAGGTTTCCAAGCAGAGGGCAGGAACTCTTACCATCTCCTTGATTGACCCTCTGACCTCTGTAGAGCTCAGGGGATTGTTCCAGGCTTAGGTCACCTCTGGGTAGAAGCAGGTCCTTGTGAGATGGGAGGATAGGGCAGGTGAAGTTGACTCAACCTGGCTCTTTGGCCTCTGGCCAGATGAATACCTCCACTGACAGTGACAGCTTCTGTAAGGGACACTTGGAGTGTCCTGGAGGTTGTCCCGTCCATATGAAGCAGCTCAGGCTGCTGTAACAAAACCCCAGACCGAGAGGTGTAAGTAATACACATTTATTTCTCATGGATCTGGAGGCTGGAAGACTGAGGTTGGGGCCAGTATGGTTTGGTTGGGTGAGGGTCCTCTTCCTGGCTTGCAGATGCTGACTTCCCTTGCCTCCTCGCCTGGTAGGGGGACATCAAGTGACTGAACTCTGGTGTCTCTTCTTGTAAGGACATGAGTGCCACCAAGAGGCCCACCTTCATGACCTCATCCAAGCCTGGTTACTTCCCAAATGCCCCCTCTCCATCACATTGGGGGGGTGGGCACACAATTCAGTCCAGAGCCTGCTCCCTGGTGAAAGGGAGGTGGTGAGTGTAGGGCCCGTAGGAATTGTGGTCCCCAGACAGTCAGGGTCCTGGGCTGCTCCTGGGTGGGTTGTGGGTGTGAGCAGTCAGTGGACTTATGGGGCTGCCTGGGCCTCACCCTGGGAGCAGGGAAGAGGACAGAGGGTAGGGTTTGGGCTGGAGCCTTACTCACAGGAGACAGAGGAAGGGTCTAGCTGCCATCCACGCCTTGCCCATCCCTCGCTCCACATATAACTTTTAACCTCTAAGGCCTCTAAGGCCTTCACTGAGTTGCAGCCGTGTTTATTGAGTGCACCAGGGTCTTGGGCACAGCACAAACATTTCATTTAATCCTTAGGTACCCTTTATGGCAAGTGCTGTCTCTATGTCTCAGTTGGGGAAACTGAGGCAGATTCATATCCCTTCAACTACAGTAGGGAAAGGAATAGAAGTGAACCTGACACGCTGCGTCCAGAGTCCATGCCCCCGTGTTGCCCCGGCTGCCTTAGACCTCTCCATTCTTTGCCCAGGCCTGAGCAGTGGCATGGAGAACTTTCTGGAGTCAGCAGGACTTTGGAAATGGAACAGAGAACCCCCTTAGGGTTCTAGAGCCTGTCCAAAAGCAGAGGGCTATGTGAGGCCTAGGTTCCTGGGTGCAAGGGTGTCACCGCCTATGAGCCACACGTGCACAGCCACAGCCAGCTTGGAGGCACCTTGCTCCTATAAGAAGGTTGGGCTCTGGAAGGGGAGGGGAGCTAGTGAAAAGCCTGTGTGGCATTTGTGACAGGAGTCAGGACTTCCTGACTGTGCCACATTGGCAATAAAGTAGCTGTGTCCCGGGGCTGGCGGAGTGGCTCAAGTGGTAGAGCACCTGCCTAGCAAGTGTGAGATCCTGAGTTCAAACCCCAGTACCACCAAAAAATAAAAAATAAAAGGGTAGCTGTGTCCCTACCATTTGCCCCTTGGGATAATTGTATCCCAACCCTGCCTACAGCATCCCCTCTGGTTCTTAAGCTCCAGCCCCTGTTCCATCCCAGAGGAAATGTCCTGTTAGCACATTCCAGACTGATTGGTTTTACCTTGGTGTCTTGTGATTATTGCCAAGAAAATGACCTAACTCTGAAGCCTGGTCACTCATGGCTGGCAGATCCCACTGGATGATCCCAGGCAGGTGAGGGACCCCCTTTTCAGAGCATCTGGGTGGGATTTTAGTCAGGAGCTCTTGACACACCGAAGCTCTATGACTGCTTTGCTCATGATTTGCAAGACCATGGAGGTAGCAGGACCTCATCACCAACTTCCTATTGAAGTTCGAGAGCCCTTGGAGCCACCCAGGCTGGGGATAGAGCACAGAGGTCAAAGTGGAACACCTCACCCATCCCACGTTGTCTGTGTGCAGGTTGCTCCTTTGCTGCCCACCTAAGAAGGAGCCCCTTGGATGTAGTCTACTGGAAGCTGGGCTGCAGGAAGCTTGGGGACCACAGCAGGGTGGCCTGGGAAGGAGAGGCTGAAGCCCTGCACAAGGAACTCAAGAATGGGGTAATAAGATTGTGCAGTGACATAGCTCCCAAGGGCAGGAGCTTTCCGGTCCACGGATGCATCCAAAGCCTTGCTGGGCTGGCCTTCCCTTCTCTGAATGGCCGGACCACCCAGAGGACTGACTGTGATGAGGCCTGCCATGGCCCAGCCCAGGCCTGGGACACAGCAAGTTGGCTGCAGCTTCACCGTCATTGCCCTCCCAGTTTGGTTCTAGTAGAGAACCTGGGAGTGACTTCTCCTGTGCCACAGTGGGTTCAGTCGGCAGAACCCACTTTCTCCTTTGGTCATGGTGAGGGTGGAGGTGGACCCGAGCTGGATGTGTCCATGTCTACGGCAGGTCAGCACGTCCTGCTCCTGGCACTGATGAGAGTGCCACAGGCCACTGGAGCAGAGGTGAAGAGCTGGTAGCCACACCAGCAGTTCCTCCGACGTGCTTGTCCTGTGTAGTCCCCTCTCCTCCACACTGGGGCTGGACCTGCAGCTGTCTTCAATACAGACCACACTAGCATCTCACAGCCCACAGGTAGGCTGAGCCTTTGTGCATCCCCGGTTAGGAAAACGTGAAGAACACGGGTCACAAGCACACCTCCTGGGAAGGAGGCCACACACTGGGGGGTCTCACCAGTGCTCCCCCCACCCACCTCTGTTCCCCAGCACGGCAGGTGCCACCTGACTGTTATCAACCTAGCTTGATTCTTTAAATCAGAGTATTTTCCATCTAAATAAAGCTATTAAAATGGAAAATGAGGAGTTCTATCCAATGTTTTTCCCTAATGCCTTAGTAATGTGTAGCTTCTTCAGTTAAAGGAGAAGGTATTCAGCCAGGCACCACCTGAAATGACCTCAGTTGCCCAACAGTGTGGCAAAATGGGTCTTAAGGGGAAAGCCTGACGCAGGGTGGGCGCTGGCTCCTCTGCTCAGGTGTGTGATCTGGACAGGTGTGTGATCTTCAGAAGAAGGCACCGTACCCCTGCATGGGTGGGAGTCCTCTGTGAGAGTGATGGTGCAGACAGCTCACTGGAGCACCACGGGATGGCTTAGTGCTCGTGTGTTCTTTCATCAGTCCTCCTTCAAAGATTTTTGTGCCTGGCTTGATGTGCAACTCAACTTTATAAATAAATCTAGCACCAAAGACAAACTGAATTGTCCAAAGTCACAAGCCCCAGTGGGTGACCTCAGAAGACCCTGGTTGAGAAAATCTCGGGTCTTTGGAGTTTCCTGAACAAAGAATATCAAAGCAGCTTCTCAAGCTGCAGCATGAAAAAGGGTGAGCAGGAGAGGAGCCAGTCCTCTGACCAGTGCTGATAGAGTCGTTGCAGCCAGCGTTAATTGAACTTGGCCATATGCCCTTGACGTCCCAAATTGAGATAATTCAAGATAAATCACTTAATACTCTGAATGACTTCACACGATCAGCCCTATTATCCTGTGTTCCGGATGAGTGAAAAAGAGGCACAACGAAATCATTTTAACAAGACCCCATAGTGGCAGGACTGGGGGTACATTATTAATGGTGGGTCTTAAATCCCTGCCAAATTTCTGTTCCCTTTTGCGAGAATTCTCCAGGACAGCCATGAAAGTGTAAACAGGTATCTTAGCCCCACAGGTGGCCTGTCAGCTCCCACAGTCTGCCCCTGAGTCATTTGGCCACCACTCCTCTTCTTTGCAGGCTGAGATTTGTGGAGGGGGGGGTGTGACCCTCGAGGTCATTTTGTGCCTGGCCACTCCTGGTCATGACAAGCTCTGCAGAAAAATCCAGAAGGCCAGACTGGGCAGGTTCCACCCTTTCCAGTCGCCTGCAGGAAAACTGTCACCAACCTGCGAACGTGGCTCTGGCTCTGTCCTAGAGGAGCGGTTGCTTGCATCCCAGACCCACAGAGGTCGCCTCCTAGAAGGGGCTCGGGATCTCTGGTCCTCTCGTCCTGACAGTGTGTCCCTTCCTCTCCACAGCCGTCTCCCCGTGCAAGATCCTCAGGTGCAACTCTGAGTTCTGGAGCGCCACGTCGGGCAGCCACGTCCCCGCGTCCGACGACGCCCCCGAGTTCTGCGCTGCCCTGCGCACCTACGCCCTGTGCACCCGGCGCACGGCCCGCACCTGCCGGGGCGACCTGGCCTATCACTCAGCCGTCCATGGCATAGAGGACCTCATGAGCCAGCACAACTGCTCCAAGGATGGTCCCACCTCGCAGCCACGCCTGCGCACGCTCCCGCCGGCGGGGGACAGCCAGGAGCGCTCGGACAGCCCCGAGATCTGCCACTATGAGAGGGGCTTCCACAAGCTCTCGGCTGCCCCCAACTACACGCACTGCGGCCTCTTTGGGGACCCGCACCTCAGGACTTTCACAGACCGCTTCCAGACCTGCAAGGTGCAGGGCGCCTGGCCACTCATTGACAATGATTACCTGAACGTGCAGGTCACCAACACACCCGTGCTGCCCGGCTCAGCCGCCACCGCCACCAGCAAGGTAAGGAGGATGCAGAGGCCCGGCCACACCCGCAGGGTCACCACTCAGGCCCCTGATGGCACCATGTCTCTGCCACCAATGCCTCCAGCAGTACCATGTTCTTTCTGATATGTGTGAGCCTATGTGAGTGAATATGTGCAGATAGATACAGTACAGATGGAGATCTAAAATGAATTTCTCACCGAGGTTATAGTCAAAAAGTGTTTAGAAATACTTCCCAAAATACTTACTTTCCAACTTTGGGAATATTCTTACCCCCAAACTATATCATGTGAAAACTTGATAAAAGGGCCTGATGTGGCAGTGAACATCTATAATCACAGCCACTCTGGAGGCAAAGACAGAAGGATCTCCATTCAAGGTCAGCCCAGGCAAAAAATTAGCAAGACCCTATCTCAAAAAACAAGCCAGACATGGTGGGATACATCTGTGGTCCCACCGACTCAGGATGCAGAAGTAAGAGCATCTCCATCTGAGGCCAGCCAGGAAAAGTTAGTGCAAGACCCTATCTAGAGAACAAACTAATGCAGAAAGGGCTGAGGGTGTGGTTCAAGTGGTAGACTACTTGCCTAGCAAATTTTAGGTCCTGAGTTCAAACCCCAGCACCACTAAAACAAGCAAGCAAGAAAAAAAAAATCCTTCCTGGTTGATTTCATGATGGCATCTCTTGGGTGGAGCTAGCTATTGTGTTAAAGCCCCCAGTGCTTCTGGGGTTGGGGACCCAGGGTCATAGATACAGGCCAGGACTGTGGAGTACTGGGGGCAGCCGACCTTGCTGGGGAGCAGTCTTCCTCTTTGCCTCCTTGCCTCACCTTGACACTGAGAGGCCTTGGGTGTCTGGGAATGAGGACAGAGGAGCAGCCTCACTGAGCAGCCCAGGGCCACCCAGGTGGCCTCTCTTCTCCCTGGGACCAGCTGTGCCCCTGTGAAACTGCTTCATCTGACTGACAGATCAGGAGCCTCATGGTCTGGGAGACAGACCCCCCCAGAATGCAGCAGGGCAAAACACAGAGCTAGGATTTGACTCCAGAGCCTGGCATGTTCTCAGTTGCCACAGAGGCCCCTGAAGGCTGCTCATTTTCTAACCTGAGGAGGCCTCGGTGGCTGGGTGGCAAGTTTCAAGTCCTACTCACGTGACCACTGTCAGAATCAGCCAGAGACATGGCCTGTGGTCCTAGCAAGGGGACATTCTGTCCACCCAGATCCTCCTGTCTCTTCCCACTTCTGGGGAAGATCTGGTGACCTTATTCTTAGACTAGCCGGGGGCTGAGGCCTTGACACTGTGGGGTGAGGAGTACTGTGAGCCTTCAGAGTCCGGGGACACGACTGCTGTCCTCATTGCCTGTCCTCTGTGCACTGGTGGCCCAACCCACCAGAACACCCTGTGGCTTCCAGGCTGGCCAGGCGGCGGTGGATCTGTTTTCCCAGGAGGAATGTGTTGGAAAGCTGTGCCAGGCTGGCCTACAAGGGTGTTTGTGTTTCTTCCCACCCCGCCACACCCCAGAAGAAGACAGCAAGGTGACCTGACAGTCAGGAAAGTACTCTCTCCCTACCTTTTCCTCTGCTCCAATGGCCTTGGCCTGCCCCAAGAACATCTCTCTTTCTGGGCCCTCCCACTGTGTAGGAAATCTGTGGATGCCCCAACGCCCTCAGTGCCAGGTCATGACACCTAATGGTTTTGTCCAAAGCACTCTCATGCCTGTCTCCCCCGCATCTCCCAGCCTTCTGCAGGTTATCACCTGACACCCACTGGGACCTGGAGCAAAGCAATGCTATCCACACAAAAATGGATTCGTCATTCATTCCTTCACTCATTCTTGGGTTGAATTCACTCCCTCCTTCCACATGTTCGGATACCTGCTAGAATCCGGGCTTCATGCTGACTGCTGTGCTCTAAAGAACTGCTCAAGCAGGGGTGGGAGGACCTCCCTATGCCAGCCCAGGGGCTGTCATATAGCAGAACTTCACCAGCCCAGCCTTTCCGCTGTGACCGAGCTACCTTTGATCTCAGCAGGCTGAGAGCTCTGTGGCCCCATTGGCCTGGCTCTGCTCGAGGCCAGACAGTGACAGCGTCAGTGTTTGTAGGCAAGCCAGGCTCAGAACTCAGGCCAGACTGGAGGCCTTGTGGTCCCTGGGCAAGAAACATCGGTGGCTGGTTTCCAGCGCCTGGCCTGCCCCTGCCTGTTCTCTGAGGCCTCAACTCCCCAGGTGTGCGTGTTTCACCCACTGATTGCTTTCTGCAACCCCTGATCTGTGCTGCCCACAGCTTCTGGTCCCTAGAGACAGAACCCTGCAAAAGGGTACCAGGACAGCAAAATATGGAGGGCCTCGGGCCCCGGCTCTGCCCAGGGCACTGGGAAGGCCTTCCACTGAGCTGGCCCCAAAGGACAGAGGGAGTCCCCAGGTGAAGGGACAGGAGAAGTCAGCCTGGATGGCAGACAGAGTAGCCTGGTTCTGTGAGAGAAGCAAGGGAAGTCAAGGGGCTTTTCTTTTCCTCTGGGGAACCTCCATCATTGGGTCACTGTTCCCTGTCTCCCTCATTCAGCCAGACAAACTGCCCTGTCTTCCCAGAGTCTGTCCTTTCCCCCCCAAGGCCCCCACCCTGACCTCACAGCCTTGTACCCATCAGCCAGGTCTTCTGGTGTGGAGGAAGCTGTGTGCACACGAGGCCCAGCCCCAAACCCACACCTGGGCTCCTTGCTCAATCTCGTGGCACTGCCATTGTCTGGCCTGGCCACACCCTCTGTTCCCAAAGATGATCAAGGTTGAATGTTCTCCAGCCAGGACAGACACAACAGCTGGCTTCCTGCCCCATGGGACTGCTTCCATGCCCAGCCCCCAGCTCCATCTCCCACCTCCCCGGTGTGCTGACAGCACCCATTTTACCAGCCAAGAAACTGAGGTTCGGGAGAACAGGGACTTGGGTTTTCTGCCTCCCCCTCTGTCTCCCTCCAGCACTCATCCATCTGTCACCAGGCATAATTTATCTGTTTGGTCAGAGACTTGGGGATCTTCTGCCCTGTGTGTTCGGTGAAGGGGAGCATCCCTGGGGCCCCTTTGGGAAGGGGGCAGCAAGGCAGGAATGGCAGCCGCACCCGTGGCGGGTTGGCAGCATGCCACCCAGCTTTCGACAGGCCCCCTTCATGCTGTTACTTGTGGTTGCGTCCCTGGCATGGGTGCCAAGAAGTCAGGCAGCCTGTCAGCCGTCCAGGAGGCGTCTCTGCACGAGATGGCAGTCAGAGTGAAACCCGCCTTTCCTGTTCCAGGGAGACTGATGGCACTTGGAAAAGCAAGATGTCGCCCCCCCACCCCCACTCCCCAACACACACATACATCCAGTGTCTGTGTGGCCCTGTACACTAGTCAGGGACACCAGAGCCCCTCACTCTCCCCTCACCAGTGGCAGGACCACCCACTGCCCAGACCACCCTGGCTGCCCTACCTCCCCCACCCCCCCACTCCCCCAGGCACAGGCGCCTCCACACCACTACTGGCTGGAGAAGTGGGAGGCTGCGCCATCTGAAGTTGCCATTTCCCTAAGGCAGCTGTGGGACAGTAACGGCAGTTTCGTGCAGGCTGAGGCTTCGGGTTCCGTGCAGCTTGGAGAGGCTAAAGCCACCTTTGACATCTGACAGCAAGCCAGAAGTGCATCAGCTCCTGGGGCCAGGATGGAACCCCCGGGGAGGGGAAATCAAGTCTGTGCTTCAGGAGCTGTGTGGTTAGAGTCTCCCAGTGGTACCCCATGGACTCCAGCAGAGTCTCCTTGACCTTGGCTTCAGAGATCAGCAGAATGTACCCATTGGCCCTCTGTGTGCACAGAGGCAGACCAAAAGGCTTTCATTTCCTTTCAACAGAGAAGAGAAAATGAATACACTCCAGCTCAGGTTATCTTTATACCAGTGTAATCAAAAATCAGTTTTTCACCCCGACCACCATCCTCCTACCTATGCCACCTGGGTAGCCAGAATTACACATGCATGCCACCGTACCCAGCTTGTTTGCTGAGATGGGGTCTTGCTAGCTAACTTTTTCTTTGCCCAGGCTGGCCTCGAACTGCAGGCCTCCCAATCTCTACGTCCCAAGTAGCTGGGGTTACAAGTGTGAGCCTCAGTGTCCAGCCTGCCTTTCTAAGTAACAAGTGAGATTTCCCTTTCTTGGAAAGGAGAAAGCCCAGCCTCCCTGGCCCAGAGGCTGTGTTCTCCTGAGGATCCTAGGCCTCCTCAGCTGCCTCCACTCCCTGACTGGTCACCCCTAACTTTATACCAGCATGGGGGGCCCACAGGGCAGCAGTAGCATAGAGCCAGGTCATCTTCAGTGACTCTCACTCTGAAGGTCACTCGGCCTAGAAACTTCTGCAGCTTCTGGCCCTCTTTCCAGACATCAGACCCCTGAGATGGGCACTATACCAGCAGAGGTCACGCTCTGATTTCCCTTGACTCTCAGGCCCTGGAGGACAGGTCTCCCTCCCCACAGCATGACTCCTGCCCAAGCTGAGGGCCTACAGCTCTCCCTTACCTCCCCCAGAGAAAGCAGTTTTGTTTGTTGCGGAGGGGGAGGAGCACTGGGGTTTGAACTTGGGGCCTCACACTTGCTATGTAGGTGCTCTTACCACTGGAGCCACTCTGCCAGCCATTTTTTTGGTGGTCGATTTTTTTTTTTTTTTTTGAGATAGGGTCTCATGAACTGTTTACCCGGGGCTGGTTTTGAACTCTGATCCTCCTGATCTCTGCCTCCTGAAAAGCTAGGATTATAGGTGAGAACCACCAGCACCCAGCAAGAATGGTTTTTTTTTTTTTTTTTCTATTCTCTAGTTGCTAGCACCTTTGGGGTCAAGTCCTCTTTATACGTCTGCTCTTAAGCAAGAAACTTCCCTAGCATTTTGCAGCTTTGGCACTGAAAGCCATCCCAGGCTGTCATTGTGCCCTTTCAACTGCCACAAACACCCTGATTGTCCAGGCAAAGAATCCAGACACAGCTGGGGAGGAATGGGATGGCACCCCTGGGAGTCTCACCAGCCAGCTAGCCAGACTCTGCTGTATGGAGGGGTGAGTTTTGACTTACAGAGGGTGGGGGACTGGGGCTTGGTGATGGAGGTGAAAGGGCCTGGGAAGGAGAAGTGGAAGAGTTGAAGGTGAGTTTACTAAGTTGCCCCAAAGACCTGGTGCCACCCTGCCCCTCTATAACCCTGCCTCTCTCCCTGGCTTCAGGCTGCAATTCTAGGCTCCAGCTGCCCCGGGTACAGAGGGCAGACCAGAGTGTCCCCTGGCAAAACAGCTGGGCCCTGGGAGCAGCAATGGTGGGAGGTGGCAGTTCCTTTCCCAGTGTCACTTGTGTTTCCAGTCCATATGGTCTACCTGGTTAGGCTTGAGAGGGTGGGGGTTCACACACTCCCTACTCCCCCAGCAGCTTATCTCATCCCTCTCCCTGGCCTCCTACCCTGTGGGCTTCTGACCAAAAGAGCCCAGAGGCTGGAAAACCACAGACTAATCCTAGCTCTGCCTCTAGCAGGCTCTGTGGCCTTGGCCAAGTTGCTACCCTCTCTGTGTTTCCCCATCTTTAAAACAGGAGATAATGGCATCTACCGAAGACAGGAAATGGTAAATGCAGAGCCTGGCGTACCAGGTGCAGTGAGTGCCCCTGGGTCTGTGGCTCTTCAGAAGGACAGTCACTAGTGGGCCTGCTCGGTCTCTCACACAGCAGCTCAGCCCAGGCACATGCAACCTTGGCCTCTGGCTCCCTTTTGTTGATGTACCTTCCTCCTTTCTCTCTTCCTCCTGCTGCCCTGTCCATGCCCTGCTTGCTGCGACCCCTTGCAGCATCCGGGAGATGACTCCAACATCACTGCCCTCCTGTAGCATGGAGGATTTTGCCTTCTTGTTTCTGACTGTCATTTCCTCCATTCCTCTGTTTTTGGGCTCAGCCACGCCCTCTTTCAGGAACTGTGCTGCAAGTACCATTAGCACACAAGATGATGTTGAGTGGGGACCGTGTTAGTCTCCTCTTGCTGCTGTAACAAATTAACATCAACCAAGTGATTTAAACCAGTAGAAATGTGTTCTCTTATAATTCTGGAGCCAGAATGAGTCTTATAAGGCTAGAATCAAGGTGTCAGCAGAGCTGGTCCTTCTGGGAGCCCTAAGGGAGAATCCGGTCAGTCATTGCCTCTGCCAGCCTCTGGTGGCCGCTGGCATCCCTTGGCTTGTGGCTACATCATTCCAGCCTCTGCTTCCTGGGTCATAATTCTTCTCTTGACTGAGTTCAAATCCAGCATAATTTCTCCATCTGTGTCCTTATCCTAATCATACCTGCCAAGTCCCTTTTGCTATAAAGGTAACACTCACAGGCTTATAGGGATTAGGACCTGATATTTTTGGAGACCATTTTTCAGTGTGGCCATGGAAGACTAAAGACCTTTTATTTTTAATTACCTATGCTTTCATCTTTACGGTTCACCTCCCCATACAGCAAACAAATTAATTTTCTATTTAGGATAGTGACCTAAACTATTCCTAAATTTTTTTTTTTTAAGTAAAAAAGGCAAATTTGCTGGGCTCCAGTGGCTCATGCCTTAATCCTAGCTATTTGGGAGGCTGAGATCAGGAGGATCATGGTTCAAGGCCAGTGCAGGGAAATAGTTCATGAGTCCCCATCTCCAAAATAACCAGAGCAAAATGGACTGGAGGTGCGGCTCAGGTGATGAGTGCCTGCTTGGCAAGCGTGAAGCCCTGAGTTCAAACCCTAGACGCCACCAAAAAGAGGCAAGCTGTGGTAAGGAACACTGTGAAGCACCTAACAGTGCAGCAGAACTGAACTGTGACCATCGTGGGGAAGGGAGGGCTTTGGCATCCTGGGGGCACCTCCGAGGCCTTCCTGTAAGGTCAGAGCATCATGAGCGAGCACCAGGCTGGGCCTTCTCCCCCCCACGTCCAACCCTCCCTCTGCCTCTTCCCCCGCAGCTCACCATCATCTTCAAGAATTTCCAGGAGTGCGTGGACCAGAAGGTGTACCAGGCTGAGATGGATGAGCTCCCGGCCGCTTTTGCCGATGGTTCCAAGAATGGTGGGGAGAAGCACGGAGCCAACAGCCTGAAAATCACTGAGAAAGTGTCAGGCCAGCACGTGGAGATCCAGGCGAAGTACATCGGCACCACCATCGTCGTGCGCCAGGTGGGCCGCTACCTGACCTTTGCCGTCCGCATGCCGGAGGAGGTGGTCAACGCTGTGGAGGACAAGGATGGCCAGGGCCTCTACCTCTGCCTGCGGGGCTGCCCGCTCAACCAGCAGATCGACTTCCAGGCCTTCCACGCCAATGCTGAGGGCCCCGGTCAGCGCAGGCCAGCCGCCAACAGCGCGGTGCCCCTGGCCCCTGGGACATTCCCGTACGAGACAGCTGTGGCCAAGTGCAAGGAGAAGCTGCCTGTGGAGGACCTGTACTACCAGGCCTGCGTGTTCGACCTTCTCACCACGGGAGACGTGAATTTCACGCTGGCTGCCTACTATGCCTTGGAGGATGTCAAGATGCTCCACTCCAACAAGGACAAACTGCACCTGTATGAAAGGACTCGGGAGCCGCCAGGCGGGGTGGCCGCGGCAGCACCACTCCTGGATCCCCGGCCGCTCTTCAGCACCCTCGGGGTCCTTGCTCTGCTGCCTGTGTTCTGTTAGGCAGCTGCCACTTAGGATGAGAAGGGAGGCATGAGCTCTGCCCCAGCCTCGGGCTCCTGCCTGAGGGTCAGAGACACTGGCAGGTGTGTCTCCTGTGGCCCAGCTGGCTCTGTAGCACTCAGGAGCAGAAGTGACCAGTGGCCCACGGATGGTTCCCTCAGAGCCACTCTGGGCCGTGTCTAGCAAGGGTTTGGGGCATGGGGTGACCCTCCCCTCTCTCTAGTGCACGTGACAAGGTTGTGGTGATTGGTGCTGTGATGTTTGTGACAGTAGAGCTGTGAGAGGGAGAGCAGCTCCCCTCCACCCCACCCCTGCAGAGTGAATGTTCAAACCAGAGCCCCTAGGCTGAAGCCCCCAACCCCACCAGAGAGACACTGGGAACGATAGCGTCAGCCTCTTCCACCCCCCTCGCAATGCACTGAGACAGGCCCGGCTGACTGCTGCACGCCGACTTGTGGGGCCCCCTGCGCCCGCCGCATGCACACACGCTCTTCCACAAGCACACTCGCACACACTAAGCCTGTGGGGTTGCACCCCGGCTGAGCCACCATCTCCATGGGACTGAGGCATCAGCAAGGCTCTGTCTCCGGGCAAGGCCTCCTTAACAATGAGACAGCCCCAGAGGGCACTGCTCAGCCAAGGTGGATGTAACCTTGTGGCCAACGGACTGTGCCCTTCTGGTGCCTTCCCACCTGTGGCCTCCATGGAGCTTGGAGGAGACCGTCCATGTGGTGCTGTGGGCGTGGGTTTCCCAGGCACCTGCCTCAGTGGAGGATGCATGTTGACCCATGGTCTGAGCAATGCCCCTTGTGGGCCCTGGTGCCTGGCTCTGACTCCACCCTCCACCCTCCACCCCTCCCCACTGTGCTTAGGAAATCGAAGTTGCTTGGTTCCAAATGTCTAAACAGAAGTGATCCCCAGTCCTCCTTGGTCCCCTCCAGCAAATGCAAGAGCCCCTGGGCTGCAGGGTGTGATCAGGAGACCCAGTTGATAGAGCCAGCTGGCCTGCTGTATGCTCTGCCCCTCACCTTCCTGCCAGACATCCCCGCCTCCGGCTGCTGGTCAGAAGCCCCACTCCCCGCCCAGTCCACCCATGCCTGGATTCTGTGAAAGGAGCAGGGTCTTAGAGGCCTTACTCCCCCACAGCCCCAAGCATACCTGGCAGGATCTCCTCCCATGGAGCCCAGAACCAAGCCCACCCTGCTGCCTGTCTGAGGCGCCCAGAGAGCAACACAGGCGCTCCCTGGCCCCTGTAGGCCATCCTGCCAGCAGCCCTGCAGCCTACCCCATTCCCACTCAGCATCTGCAGCAGCCCCCTCCTCCACTGCTCCCCAGGGACCTCTCATACACTGGCCAGGAGGCTGCAGAATCTGCCTCTCCCCCTCCCTCCAAGAGGTCCTGCTCCCCGCCCCCCACCAAAACCATGTGGGTGGCCAGGAGGGGGCTTGGCCCAGCCCCTCCCTCTCCCTGCTGGTTTTTTAGATGATCCCTAGGTTGGAAGTAAAAAGTTGAAGCACTTTATTTTGGTTGTGTTTGATCACGTTCTGCTTGGAAATGGGGACCCCCTCACTGAGTCCATGTGTCTGTGACCTGTGTGGAGTGTCACCACGTGTACATAACTGTAAATTATTTATTAATGGCTAAACGCAAGTAAAGTTTGGTTTTTTTGTTTTGTTATTTTCTTTTAGATGAGATGTTGGATTTTGTGTCTGAACACTTTGGTTCCCTGGTGGTGGCGGGGAATGATTTTGGTGATGGATGTCCCTTTATAGTGAGTGTGCTGGCAGGGTGGATGGTGTGTGGGTGTGCCTGAGTGTCGTGAACACATGGAAAGTACAACAACATAACACCCAGAGTGTTTTGCTTCTCTAAAATTACCTTTTAAAAATATTATTACCATGAGTAGGTTGGGGGTCTGGTGGATCCATCTCTAGAGACATACAGACCAGTGGCCACACAGTAGAGCAACAGAACTATCTTCTGGGACAAGGTTGGGGAAGTTGGGCAGCTGGCCTGACATCCACGATGACTCCTCAGCCAACACCACCAGTCTAGGGAGCCCCAGGCCTGAGACTTGCTACCACCAACCCTGTGGGTCCCCTCCTCACCCACAGCCCAGTGGTCAGGTGATGGCACTGTAGAGGGGACCACTGTCCACACCAGTGTGGGGCCAGTTTCACTACTGGCTGTGATCACATTTCATTCCTAGAAACTACCCAGTGGGTCAGGAATGAATTTGAGCCCATTTTACAGATAACACAGAGACTGGCGCCATGAACTGACTTGGCAAGGGTTATGTAGCAAGAGTAGACCCAAGGTGGACCTAAGTGTTGTCCTGGAGTCCCCGGCTCCTGGCACTAAATGTCAGGAGGAAGAATAGTAGTATAGTTAAACCAAGGTCCAGCCCCACGTCTTCACTTTCTCAAATCTGTGGCTTTGGGCAAGTCATTTAACCTCTCTGAGCTTGGTCAGGTCTTCTCTGTAAAGTGGGGAGTGCCTGTCACACAGGGTTTGGCAACTCAGTATAATCACAGCTGCAGAGTGGCCCACTATGGCTACCTAGAGCTGCTGGTGGTGGTATTCCCAAAGCAAGAGAGTTTGGATGAGTGAAAAGCAGGGTGGGCCACACAGACCTTAGGAGCCTGGGAGAGAGTGTTTATAGTGATCCCAGGTGGAACAACCAAACAAATAGGGAAGAACTTTCTAGAGCCCTGCTCTTCAGTAGGCTCCCAGAGAAGGCGTGAGGATTGGGTTTGAGAGTTAGGAACCAGACCCAGAGCAAAATATCCCCACACGCCCTACCTACTACATTGTCAGTACACACAGGCCTCACTCTCAGCTGAACAGCACCAAGGTAACAGAGCCTTTGGCAGAGAACAGATCAAGGAGAAGCCAAGTCACAGGGCAAGGGAAAGAGGTCTCATTCTCCATCAGATGAAAATGCTGTATGGCACTTGCCAGAAAATATTTCTGGTTTGGAATTTTGTCAGGGTCCTAAATTTAACCAGCAGGAATTTGTTCCCAAGTACCATGTTACTAGCTGCCCTCATAAACATGGAAATTTGCATTTCATCCTGAGTATGGAACATAATGTCTGGAGCCAAATGACTCCCAAGGTCATCTTGCAGTGTAGACTGGGTTTGGTGTAGACCCTCAGGGAGGCCCGTTAGTCTGGGAGGTGAAGGCACTGAAAGTGGTGGGAACTCTCGGATGGGGGCTGGGAAGCTGGCTCAGTGATAGAGCACTTGCCTAGCAGGCTCACGACCCTGGGATCCTGGGCTTAACCCCCCAGCCACTGCAAAAACAATGTACTCAGAGTTCTTGTTTGGCGAGCCAGAATTTGGATAGAAGGATAGAAGGCAGAGAAAGGACTATTAAAACAAATGCAATTCATTTATAATAAAGGGGGAAATTGACATAAAATAATTACCAGTACACTTGGGCAGAGGCCCATGAGCCAGGCATGAGTGGAGTTGATCAGTCACGCCAGGAAGCAGCACAGAACAGGAGGTGGCAACTGGGCTCGGGCAGCAGACCGAGTGTGGAAACTGGCTCTGCCTGTCACTAGCTGTGTGGTCTCCCTTGGATCTTTGAGCCTTAGATTTCTAATTTGTAGAATGCAATTGTGAGTACCTGCCTCCCATGGTCATTATGGAAATCCAGTGAGCTCGCACTCATAAATTGCCTCACACTTGGACCCTGACAGTTAGGAAGGCCACCAAAAGTGAAGGTCCAATCCCTTTGTGATCAGATGTATTCATTTGGTAACCCTACTTGCATGAGCCCAGCCTACAGTAGGGACCCAAACAGAACATGCTGTATTCCCACTAGGGATATAAGCCAATAAACTAATGTCCCATGGTGACAAGTGCCAGGAAGAAAGGAAAGCAGGTTAGTTCTCAGAGAGATGCATGTTGGATTAAGGAAAGGGAAGGAGGGCTCACTGCATGACTTTGGGGAACAAGTCGTTCCAAGAAGTGAGAGTATGTTCCACATAGACCTCAGTGAACCACGCAGACCTGGTACAGCACAGCCCAGAGGGACAGTTAAGGGAAAGCAGAAAGTCAATGTGACTCCAGGACAGCAAGTGGACAGGTGGAGGTTCAAGGAGAGCACCATAGCATGACAGAGGGAAGGCATGGTGTTTTATTCCAATTACCTGAGGCGACCACAGGGGTCCCTGTGCAGGGAACCAGTGTGTCTGACCAGGATCTCAGTGGAGTTTCAGCTGCTGGATGGAGCAAAGCCATCAAGGAGAGAGAGAAAGCCACAGGCTACAATAGCTCAAGGCCAGCTGGAGGCAGTGGTAGTGTCAGAAAGGACCTGACGCAAAGCGCTTTGGAGTTGAACATGAAGGTGTTGTTGACTGAGCTGGGGAGTAAGAGCACTTGAGAGGGACCACATGCCACCTCCAGCGGTAGCACCGAGCACCTGCGTGCAGTAGAGCCGTTTACCAAGTGAGACTGGCAGGATTCCCAGAGAAGCTGGTTTGGGATGCATTACAGAGCACAGGGGGCTTAATTGTTTTGAAATTTTAAATTCCAGTGATGTAAACTCCCCAGAGCAAATTGATAAAGAAGGCAGTGCTCACAGAATAAAATTCCCAGATAAAGGGAAGTGTGTCGTTTGATAGCTGAACTAGTTGATTGCCCAGCTGTGGTTGGTGGGATGCTCGGCACAACTGCTTCTGGCTGTCACCATGGGCTGAAGACTCTGAAGACCACACCTAGCAGAGAGACTCTTGAGAACCCATGGCTTGGGCAGCCCTGGGTCATGTATTTGGAAAATGGCACTTGGGTTCACTAAGGTTGGATTTTATAGCAAATTCTAGACTATGCTGGATGAAATGGTGCTAAGATTTTAAAAAGAAAGTTAAAAGATCTCCACATGTCCCATGTGAAAGGAACATCATTCAGTCCCCATGGACTGCCTAATAAACATGAGGCCCTGAGTTCAAATCCTATCTCCCTTATGTTTCCAACTGTTTCCTAGGCCTTTCACAACAGCAAATGTATCTAGCCAAACAGAACAAAGAGCTACTCAGACACTGTCAGAGAACTGGTCTCACACATCAGAAGTGGGATAGGGAACGGGGGCTGTGACAGCTTATCAGCAGGGATGAGCTGGCTTGGGGTGAAGGGAACACACCAAAAACAGGACTCTGAAGGAATTAAGAGGTTGGAGGTGGGGGTGGGGCGAAGCCCAAAGCTGCCACTCTAAGAATCAGGACAAGAGTTTGGGCCATTGAACTCCCGGGCCTCCCTTCCACCACCCAAGGCTAAGCACCAACCTTGGGGGAATGGTCCCGTGTTTGGTGACCTAGATGGCCAAATTGCAGTGGTATAAACAGAAGCCCCCTGGGTATAGGGGAGAGCTCAGCTTGGCCCAGCATCTCAGCCCTGGCACCCACAGGCTGAATGCTACAGGGTGTGTTGTAATCGCTCTCAGCTGCGAGGGCACCATGACAGGAGCCCCTCGCCAGGTCATCTTGAAGACTAACTGTGGCGCATGTGTGGCACAGTGCACTCACTCTTAGACAGCTGGGACTGTTACCATTGTCCTGTGGACCCACTCACTTCGAGGGCACCAGTCCTCCCAAATGGCCACTTCCTGCCCATCAGCCTGGCCACGGAGCAAACCTCAGTCCACATGCGATGCTCCCGGCAGCTATGCATTCCTCCTCGAAAAATAGAAATGAGGCCCTACGTTTGAACTTGTCCTTGAGACCTGCAATTGCTTTGATGAACTTGACAACAACCCTAGAAGGCAGATGGTGGGGTCCTGTTTCCAGAGGAGTGGAGAGAGGTTGAGAGAAGCCATGTTTGCTGTTGAAGGCTACATCAAGAGCTACACCTGCCACTCCACCCGCCTACCCCAGCACCCTGCCCCTCGCTTCAGGGCGGACAGGGAGTCTCAGCAGCCCCCAAACAGGGGTGGAGTCAATCCAGGGTGCTGGTTCTGGGCCAGAGGGAAAAGGGTCAGACTCTTAACTAGAAACCAAGAAAAAGGGAGAGAATGGGAGAGAAAGGTCAAGTCCACAGCCATGTACCCTAGAGCTGAAGCCTGAGAGACGCAGGGTCTGAGAAGGAGGGGTCCAGGGCGCCAGTGGGTGGTTAGTTGGGTCACCTCGGTCTGGGGGTAAGTGCCTTCTCAGCAGTTCCAGGCATGATATGGCTGGTAGTGGGGTCCACACTCCCAAATGCCTGCAGACTGTACACACCTTGTCCAGTGTCACAACAGTACATTTTTTGGACACCTGCCATGTGCCTGGCACTCTGCCAACTGCTGCATGCAAGCACTGATTTATCATGGTGGATCCCCTCCCAGTCCCACATTCCGGGAATTCAGGTAGCTCAAAGTCCTGACAGGCTCAGGTCAAGGACTGGCAGGGACCAAGTCTGCAGGCCCAGGCTCCCTCCCCAGGTACAGCAGGACATCTCCGCATGCACTGCTTTCTTCTTAAGGTAAGTGCCCAGGGTATTGATTGTGTTGCTCTAGCACGAAAAGAAGAGTCTTTTCTCCCTTCCTTCTTCCTTGCACAAGCATTTGGAGGACCCATGTGGCTGGTCTCGGTCTAGATTTTGGAGACACTTTGAAGAAACCCTCTGCTGTTGGGCCCCGTGCTCCGCAGTGGGGAAACACAAGCAGGGTGGGTGAGTGCGCTTTCTCATAGGCGACCTCTAGTGGTGAAGTGTAGAAAATAGCGAGCTACCGTCTTGCACCTGCCAACTCCACAGTGGTTGAAAGGGGCAGAGGGAAACCGCACATCCTGGTCCTTACAGAGCAGAGCTTACTGGGTCTCCAAAGTGAGCTGGAGTCACAGCCTGTAGTTGAGCGCCACTGTCCTCTGCTGCAAAGTAGGGGGAGGGCATGGACTTAATCACTGGGACCAGTGACAGCAGGAGAAGCCATGAAAGGACATGGTGGCACAAACTGAGCTGGCATCCATGTCTTTGTGGTACTGGGATTGAGCTCTAGGCTGTGTGGTTGCTAGACAGGTGCCCCTCTGCCCTTTTTTTTAGGTTTTGGCTTGGTTTGGGTTTTGGATAGGGTCTTCAGCTAATTTTGCCCAGGCAGGCCTTGAACTGTGATCCTCCTATCTTGCCTCCCAAATAGCTGGGATTAGAGA